CATTTGTTTTCCTATTTTTTTGTATTATTTTTTTATGATGTTTAAATTATTTGTCTAGTATCATGCGTCCTTTTTTTATAACCAGTCTAAAAAAAATTTCTTTTTATGAAATAAAAGTCTAAATATTTCTGCTGCTTTTACACAGGGCTTCCGATTTTGTAATTATATCGGCTTTCCTTGTATTGAAGCGACAGGGTCTGTTACCCATTTAAATTTCACTTTATTTCTTCAGCTTTGGCGCTTTGTCACTAACACGCACAACGTATAGTTGTCCTTCTTAAAAATAAAAAAGAAGTTTAGATAACAATAAAATAAGTTAAGACGATTATAAGCGCTATATTCATTTATATCTGTAAATAAATGATTTATTAATAAACTTATAGAAACACGTTGTCCCACCCCAAGTGAAGCGACTGAGTCTGAGATGAGAGCGTAGTTTGCTTTTAATCTTTGTAAAATCTGAACTTAATTTATAATCATACAAGATAAATTGAATAATCATAAATGGCGTAGTATTTGTATTCAGAACGAAGACATTGCAGCGTTCTTCAAAATCACACAAATTCATCACCCATATCGTTCAAAAAATTAAAACTTTCTGACTATTGACACAGTAAAATAGTAATTAGAAAAGATATTTTTACTCAAAACAGTCCTTCGGTATGTTACAGAAGCAAGGCTTAATTTCGAAATCCCAAAGCCTGGCTTCGGTGGCCATCCGGTGCATTACTCCTTAGAGAAATCTTATTGTGCCATTGCACCAAGAATTAGCATCCTTACACATTGTACAAATTCTAGAAAAATTTAACGAAAAGAATGATGCAGAGATCGTCGAAGTTATCAGAGAAAACGAAGGAATTAGTGAAAAGGAAAAGGAATCCGAACATGCAAATTCTGATCCTGTACCAAAAGCAGCAGTGTCTAGACAAGCATTAAAAATTCTGAGAAGAACGTTAGAGCTTAAAGGTGGAGATACAAAACGTTACAAGTTACATGTAGTGGCTTGGAGACCACCGTTGAAAAGCTACTAACAAGAATTATGCAGCAAACGTGAATGGATAAATTTTTAAATAATGTCTCATATGCTTACATATTGTATTGTTCTGTGTAACATGTTGACATAATTACAATTGTTATGAATTAAGACGGCTTTTATCATCCACAGAAAAAAATAATGAAAAAGTTTTATGTGAAAAATGTGTATGTAACTTGCATATTAAACAGCATATCGAAAACGTGTATTAATCTTAAGAGCAGGGCCGTACGCAAGGAGAGAGAGGTACTGGTATGGGCACATTTCATTCATAAAAATTTATTGAAATCTTATATAAAATAAGAAAATATTCATATCTCCACCCGAAAATATTCAACGTTGCATCCCTAACCGAAACGAAACCCTGCGTGCGGCCCAGCACCGCATACAAAACTCAACCACTTTTCAAAATCAAATGAAGTCGGAACAGACGTGACCATACTAAATAGTATCCATTCCATTTAAAAACTGCTCTGATTGACACATGTCAGTAAATATGCTTTGATTCGAACAGAGATGTTTCAAAGCCTGCCACATTACATCACTGCAGTTCGAAACAGCGCAGAAATGGCGAAATTATAACACTCGTGTCATAAGTGACATGCGAACCCATTTTAGATGACAAGCATTTCCAAGGCCATTGACAGAGATTAAAAAATTGCATAATACAAAAGTATTTGTCTCTTGCACGACCTCATCATTGCCAACATGGCGTGCTTACTTGGAGTGCATTCTTGGAAGACGGATTGCAGTGATTCTTGACAGATGGATGATTCTGTATTTGACGCGGCACCATAATTGAACTAGGGTTTTACCGAATTTTCTCACCCGCCAAACTCAAAAGTTTCGCTGTTACTGAAATAGTGCGTTTGTTATCCATCCAGAATTTTCTCTTTTCGCTTTGCTCCTTTTCTCGGCTACTATTATTACTATTACTATAAGAAACACTTTTTTAATCAATTTTCTTCATCATTTCTGCATGTGTAAAAAGAATGATCTAAAATATTTTTTTAAAAATAATGATGTCAAAATTTCTTGCATAAAAGAATGAAAGAGGAATGGTTGCACTGTAGTACAGTCTCTTAATGAACGTATTTTTTGCCCTACTTGTATTATGATTTTAAACTAGTTAGTTGCAGAAGAAATCTTCTAGCATGCTCTTTTCCATCTTCTAGCATTTCTTATAGCATGTAAAAGGGAAAAGGAACCTTCCGTTCTTGTATTATTGTGGGACAGAAATAAAGATATCCTTTTTTGTAACATAGAAACTATTTCCTTTAAGAAAGAACCTATAATAAGAAGAAATATTCTTTCAGCTGCCAACAGTATTTTTGATTCCATTGGAATGTTGTGCCCAGTAACTGTATGCATGAAGATGCTAATACAAGAAAGCTGGACTCTTAAATTAAGCTGGGATGAGGTATGTCCTGAAAGTGTTTGTAAACGGTTTTCACTGTGGATGGAAGATCTTCATTTATTATACGGAAATTAAAATTCCAAAATACATTGATTGTGATGGTTCCCGAGGTGGATTAAGTCTTTACACTTTTCTAGATGCTAGTAAATTTGCATACAGAGCAGTTGTATTTCTTCGTAAAGAAAACCGTGATGAAGTAAAATTCGTTTAATTCAAGCTAAGAGCAGAGTTGCTCCCTTGGCGAAATCCCAGATTGGAATTATTAGCCTGTTGTGTAGGAGCACGCATTATACCTTACATTATAAAAGAAATGAATTTTACAGAAGTCCCAACGACATGTTGGACAGATTCTTCGACCGCTTTGTTTTGGACTAAGAATGAAGATAATTGGAGTACTTTCGTTAAAATTAGAGTTAAGGAAATTCGAAGTATCACTTCAGTGGATTCATGGAAACATATTCCTGGCAGTCATAATCCGGCAGACCTCCCATCCAGAGGTTGTTCTCCAAGATTTCTACTCATATCGAAATGGTGGGAGGAACCAGAGTGGCTAAAGCAATGCCCAAATCTCAGATTCAAACCAATAGTGAAGAAGTTTACGAAAAGCGAAAGAGGAGAGAAACTGCTTTAGTTAACACTTCTGTGTCAGACGAGCGATGGCACTTACGACGATTTTCCAAGTATTCAAAGATTTTGCGACTAATATCTTGGATATTGCGTTTCTACAATAACTGTAAAAATTCAGAGAATACAATGAAGGGAGAGTTGTCTGTATAAGACATTTTGTGCACCTTGTCTCTGATAATGGGAACATTCCTCATAAATCTGAAAATGTTAAAAGGAACAATGACTTGTAAGATACTGATTTTGAACTAAAAACTAGATGTGGCAAAAAAACTGTCAAACCTTCTCTTTATGTTCTGTATTACTATTTAACTTATGTTGTGAATATATTGAGTACTATATGTAAATCTATTGAGTAGAAAGTTTAAATTTTTATTTTTTATTTAATGTTTTGATTTTCATACACCATTTTAAGAGAATCAAAAGGTAGGAGTATGTTGTGAGCTTCATGATTTATATTTGTTAACGCTATTTAACAGCCGTTGTGTTCCTTTTCAAACAGAGTTTTGCTTTTGTAGTTTGGCAACAGTAAGAAAGATTAGAATAATGTTTTGATTTCCTTAAGTCTGTAAGCAAATAAAATTTGGCTTTCTTAAGCAAGAAATGTATTTGTTTATTTAAAATATTTCTTTTCAAGTGTTATAGAATGGAGTCAGATTTAATTTAAAGGCGAGAACGACTGAATGAAATAATATTCAGGTAGATTCAACGCAACAGCTGCTATAAGCAGTATCATCTGCGTAACATCCGACATAGTAATTGTAGTCCATATTCATAGTGAATAGATCAGCCACATAAAACAGATACAACACGGGCCCGATAATAGAGCCCTGCGGGACGCCTGCATTGATGCGCTTGCAATCTGAAGTGTCCTTATCAAGCTGAAGGAAGAACTTTCTTCCCTTGAGAAAAGAGTGTATGAGTTCTCTGGTGAAGTGAAACCCAATTAGCTTGAAAATAAGCTCATCATGCCAGACGCGGTGTCTGATTGCTCTTCTTTTACAACTTGACCCCAACACTTACGCAAACACATGGATAGAAATTGAGCATGGTTCATCTCCATGTGGTCTGTCTTCTGTCATCGTATTACAGATGTCTATCAAAGCAGTCCGTTCGTTGATTGGAGAACCACAAAAACACAGTTTTCATACCGCCTTTAACGTAAGCCTTTAGAGATTAATGAGCCTTTAACGTAGGAGCCATAGTTTCTCATTTTTGTCTTAGTGAGTGGAAGTGCGTAGTTCTGTGGGCGTCTACTGTAACGATCCCGTGGTGTTGTAAGCTCGTTTGGTGCTATGTAATTAGTTGCTTGTTCTTGTCGCCATCTATTTGCACTGATGATAAGTGCAACTGCGTAAGAGTTTCGTATGCCCTTGAGAATGATAAACGATCTTAGGATTCGATCTTGGGATTGCTTGGCAGTCAAATACGGTACTGCTATCGTAAAAACGCTCCCGTGAGGTAGAATCTGCGTTCGAAATATTTTATAATGGGAGCATTTTGATTGGTTCTCAGGAGAGTTACAAGATGATTGAGCGACAAATGCATGGAAGGAGGAAAATGGCAGAGATTATATAAAAGTAATTTTCTACGATAAATTTAATAGCATATTTCTGAGAACATGTTATTTGAAGTCGGTCACCAATTTTCCCTCTTAAATATAAAAAGAAAACTTCTAAGCTTCTGTATTAAATCCCAAATTATTTTCTGAGCAGCAATATAATAATTTTAATCAGTGATAGTTGTATTTTTTAATAATTTTCTATGAGAACACACACTTTGTAAAGTTTAAAATTTCATATCTATAATTAGACAATTAATATCCTAATCATATATGTTTTGAGATATAGAGCTAAATGAAAATTGTTAAACCCAAATACGTTGATTTTCTTGCTTTAAAATTTATTGTCTGTCTTTCAGGCACGATGTGATTTTAATTAATAAGCTGCTGTATATCAGCCTTTGCTTTAAACAAAAAACAAAACCTTACTATTTTCATTAATATTTGGCAACAAAACAAAAGCTTGATTTATACCGCTAAAGAGTTATTCAAACGAGTAAGTTGTGTAAATGTTAGTAGATAAAGTTGCTAGTCTTATCTATTGATGCTAAAATAAATTGTACAGGATTGTTACGTTTCATGTACTTTCTTGCCTATTTCATTCTAGTGTACATTCGAAATGACCGACTTCGACCTTGTTAACGATATGTGTATTACATAATGATGATGTGTAAAATAAATATGTTTAAATTGTATTTTACATTATTTCAGAATAATGTAACTGTATTCCGATGTTATGAATCATTTAACTGTAAAAGTATAAGATCATTAGATTTAAATGTAAAGATATAAAATATTTGTATTATTATATCTAATGCTTCTTTCACAAACTTTTTAAAAAACTTCGATTTGGTAAAAATTTTATATGATTATATTTATGTAAATATGTGCTTATAGAAAAGGAGTAATCCTAACCATTTTTCAGTGAAATATTGCAAAATTATGAATCTAAGGTTAAAAAGTTTATAATTTGGTTAAAATAAAGAAATCAGTGTTATAATTTGGTTAAGACAAAGAAATCAGTGGTGTACTGAACACTCAAATGTTAAGACACAATAACACGCCGAATAAATACTAATTCAGAAGTCAAACAACAAAAATCCGCGTTATATTTTCAAAATTTTCGCAGGACTAGTTTCGATGGTTTTTACCGAACCACCATCCTCAGCTCCAAAAGCGAAAAAAAAAAAAAAAAAAAAAAAAAAAATTATTTTAGTGGTTAATTTTACATCTTGTAATGATTTGTCAGCTAAATAAAATACATTAATGCTTGAATGACTGATCTCAGATTTGAAGCATGTAAGCCTTGTGTTTACATTATGAGCAGTGGTGGGTTTCAATCAGTAAAATATTTGGTACTTATGTATTATCATGTCAACAATGAAAGTTATGTATGTACCATCAAACCATGAAAGTTGATCAAGATCTCACCAGAGTTGTGCCAATTGTTTCTAATTATTTCTCAACAAACTCATGATGTCTCTTTAATAAGCAGTTAATATTTGACTCGCTTCATTTTTGTGCTTTGTAAGAAAGTTTTTACAAACTTCCCACAGGCAGTTGTTCCAGTCTATTACATTTTTATCAGCCATATTCATCTGACCATATTGTGTCCATTTATATGCACTTTTTTGGTTGATAGGATCTCATAAGTTATAAAATAATCCACTGCTTTTTGATCTGCAGAAGGCAGATCCCACACTGTAATAACTCTTTTTTTTTTTCAAAACACAAGACAAAATACAACAGTAGCAGTTAAGTTTATATTCGTGTTCATAAAAACGAAAAGGTGGCTTAACAAGAAATTGACAGAGTTACATCAAATGAAAGTGCAATTGTTATCAGGGCATTCTGTTACACTTATTCATAATGAGTGCTAAATTGCACTGCTTGGATGATGGACAGTATAATATATAAGTACCAAACATTTTTAGATTAGCAAACCAAATGCTGACAGTGAATTATAATATTTGTTAAGGCAATTTATGATACCTAGCAGCTAATTTTTTCTTTTAACTCTTTCAGGACAGGCGTCCCATACACACATTCCCTAAGAACGTCTCTTACAGCCAGGCGTCCCATCCATGCATCAGTAGAGATTGCATTCAGAGGATGGGTGATGCGTATACGCATTTTTAGGTGGAATGTTTTTCTGAAGGCCACTATATGGCATCCTATGTCCATTACTTTTGAAATGAGGACAGTTTTAGGTTCTTGACCTTGAGTTTGATATATTCTGTTTGACTTTGGTATTTTACTCATCAGCTGTGGCGAGGGCGGGGTAAGGGAAAGCGTAAACAGAGGTGGGCTCTTTAAATCGCTGCGTGCTAATGAAAACATTCTCGTGTCTGATTTATATCCAATTTCATTTTTTATTCTATTCTTTTCATCTACTATGTACGGTCTTCTAGAGTTACTGCGCGGAGATTTTTTACGTTTTGCATTGCCTTCAGATATATTTCCGTTTCTTATCTTTTAATTTAGAAAGCCTCACCTCCAGTCTATTATGGCAGAAAGGTGCTATTTATCAGAGGAAGAATACTCTCGTATGGTTAGTGAACCATTTACGAACGCAAATGAGAGTAACGATTCCTTTTCTAAAGAGTTAAAAAGAGATACTTTTTCTAAGAGTTACAAAGTGATACTTCTCTGTGCTTCGAGATTTACCACACTTGTCTTTATTTTAAATTTGTAACTTCTTACAGTAAATAGTCTTTATTGTGTTATTTTATTAATTTGAAATTTTATTGATGATCAATTAAAACTTTGAAATAATTTGAATAGTGCGTCCGAAAATTATTTTACAAGATAAGCAATTTTTTAAGAAAAAAATTTTAATAAGTGCTGATTTTAACATATATAAGAGCTCAAGTAATAATCTAAAATGATACCAAAAATTACTACGCTAGAAGCGAAACTTTTTTTTTTTCTGATTTTATTTTATAAAATTTGGCTTAGCGATGCAAAACCTCCGTCCTGTACGGTGACTGCCTACGATTCCCTTCCGTCCCGCACGAAGGCGAACCATCGCAAAATGGTTAATTAATCAGTGAACTGGTTCTTAAAAGTCTTGAATCCAGTCATTGTATGGGAGGTATATAAATATAATTTTCTAATTCTTATTTCTGGAAAAAAGTTGCAAATCTTATAAAAATAATTTGGTTTGATTTTTTTTATTTTATAGTTCATTATCGAATATTTTGATATTTTGATAAAGAGTACTTTATTTCCTGTGCTTTGCATCTTCCAATTTCTACTAGCTGCACTTTTTTTAATTTATTATTTCATTCCAGGGATGTTGCTGACTCGAATTTTGAAAAAGTATACTTTGTCAGGCAGATGTTACCAATGTTTAATTCAAACCCATGGGGTAAAAACAATGAGAGCATGGCAAGCATTTGAGTATGGTGGCCCTGAAAATTTTCAGTTAAATACAATGGCTGTAACACCAGCGATAACTTCTCCCATGGACATTTTGGTAAAAGTGCATGCTGCGAGTATGAATCCTTTAGATGTTAGAATGTTAGGTAAGATGCAGCTAAAATAATTTCATACTTTTAATGCAAAAATTTTATGATTTTTGTTATTTGAAAATTGCATTCTTTATTATACACTTTTCTTCTGAAAAGTGTTCTTTTTGGTCCTTTCATCCTGTTTAACTAAAATAGGACCGAGTGCAAAGTTAGACCTCAAGTTTATGCAGTTTTCATCAGCCCCACTTATGAGGTAACTTTGAGGTATTACAGTACTTTCTTATATTACTTTTTAATTATATTGCTTAATTATCATAGGAATTACTGAAATAATAACAGTTTTCTGACATACATTATTAAAGTTAGAATTTTTTAAAAATTGGTCAACAAGAACAATTTAGCTTCCCTGTTTTATGTGTTATTCAAATCTAGAAATTAAAAGTTAAATTAATTTTAAAAAATACTTGAAATAGCTTGATGATATTATAATGATTAATCTTTCATATATACTTATAATTGAATTGAGAATATTTACTAAAATATGTCTATATAATAAAAGGCAGTACTCTTCTGTTATCAAAACCGCATTCAGAAATATATGTACGTATGCATGTGTTATGCATGTGTGTATGTTTGTATGTGCATATATATATATGCATGTACACACAGTCTCATACATATGAACATATATGCATGCCCACATGAACATATATATCCATACTTACATGCATACATGCATGCATTTCTGAAACCTGTTATGATAACAAAAGAGTAACTAAAAGTCTTTTCCCATTAAGACAGATGGGTGAAGAACATGAAAGGTAGAAATTAAGTACTTTACTTTTCTTTCATACTCAAAGTATCACACAGTTTCAAACAATAAGTTCATTCTAAAATATTGAAAGTTTTCTAATATTAACTTAACCGAATGCATTTTTTATATCTATAAGATGTTCTCTTTCTTAACAATTTTGAATGATCGTGTTCTGTTATTTCTTTAGGTTTATTGGCAGAATTTATGCTATATATATATACAACCAACCATATTTTGGAAAATCATTCTTTAAAAGCAGTATAACACCATCACATTCACTTCGTGCTATCTCACACTTATTACTTTTGCATGCTGTAATGGCAGCTTTTTACAATACCATATGATGGTAGATTACAAATCTCGGTGGTATGTTTTTAGATAAATTATCAGCAAACATATAAAGGCCAGTTCTGGCATTTAACTAACTGGAATGCTCAAGTAATTGGAATATTTTCAGATTTGAGAAACTTTTTTTAAAATATAAAATTGAACAAGAAAGATATTTGTAGCTCTGTTATAAAGCCTGAATAGGACTGAGATTTGAATGAAACAGAAACTCTCATCAAGCAGTGTGTTTTAACGGCAATAATGGTAAACATAATGTAACACTATCTTTATGTAAACCAGATTAGTTCTCAATGAGTCAGTTTAATTTTTGTATAAAATGATGTAAGTTAACTGTTTTTCAATCGTATTTTGAAAAAAATTATTAAAATTTTAGACTTGTCTTCAACAGAATAGCATGCATGCAGTAGAGTATGTTCAAGTTTATGGGATCCTGTCGTCAAGAAACGTGCGACTTGTGTGAAAATGGATAAACACTGGCTGTGCAATGGAAAAATTATGACAAATGATTTTATTTTTATTTTATTTATTTTTTTTTTTTAATGTTATGCCTTTAACTCATATATGTTGATTAACAAAATAAAGAGTGAGATGTTCCTTCAAACTTCTGCCAGAATGGCAATGGATACGATTGAAGGAAGCCAGAGTGTAATTGCTGCACTATCATAGAGTCAGTAGGAAATAATAAAAGATAACCTGATTAAGATCCCTCACAAACTACCATTTCGGAAGATGGCTGTTATTTATCAATAATGCTCATACAGAAAGGTCTGAAAATATAACCCTTTTGCAAGGATAACTTTGAATGGCCATTGGAGGAAAATTATTGATACTGCAATTTGCAAATACCTTCATGTACATGAATTGGGTGCACATAAGACAATAATTCCTGTTCTAGTAGCTTATCTGCATGGTATTGTATAAAGATATTGGGAAGAAGAACTCTGTGTTTGGGGTTCTCTTTTCTGAGGTATTCAAATTCAGCCTAAAGCTAGTGATTGGTGACTGCTGATATGGCACCTGATATAGATCAGAGCATTTCAAAGAAAGACCCGCATTTTTCTAAAGAATGTGTGTTTATCAGGTCAAAAAGTGAGAAATCCAAGCTTTACACAAGTTGAAACCAAACCCTATTCTGCTCCAATATGCAGAAACAAAATTGTTGCCAATTCAGTCTTTTTTTTATGCATGACAGCATCTGACCTCATTGAGTGCATCTTGTGAATTAGATGCCTAAATTTTTCCTCGAAAAATTTCCTAAAGGAGAGATTTGTAGTGCCGCTATAGAGCTCATAATATTATTAACATATATATAGTTTTTCCAAATGGTGTGATTTAGTGCCAATAATGTATAAGCATGAGATCACAGCACAGTCATAAGAAGTTCATTTTTGTTTAATGTAAATTTGATTAATTCTTGATAAGCCAGTTTAAGTTAAGATAAATTTTATAAAAAAGGATATAAATAAGTTCTAATTTTTCTTCACATTTTGAAAAAGGATTAATGTTTTCGACTGCATGAAGGGGTTTGCTTTAATAGATTATGGCAAACCACACTAGGACTATCTGCCTAAGGGACGACATGCCTTTGTTGAGAACTTTCTAAGGGAAACTGGCTGGTATACACATTACACATGAAAAAAACAATAAAAACACCCATGCAACTAACCTGTTTGCCTGCATTGAGCCCAGGTGATTGCATGAAGTGAAGTATTTTCAAAGTTACAAAACATGGACATAAAAAAAAGCCAGAATACTCAACTTTGGAGAGACGATGGTTATGTAATGGGAAATATCGATTTAGGTTTTTTATGTATATCTGTAATTTGTATCGCCTTTTTATCTAACCAAATAAAGAACAATTTTTCATTGAGAGTAATTGGTGGCATCTCTGCCGACGTACATGTTTAATGGAACTTCATAATGACTGAAATTGTTTTTTTTTTCCCACGTTAAAATCTTTTAAATATGGGCTTTTGATACTCAAGTTGATAGCAAATAAGATAGTTTTTTTTGTAATTTTAGAGCAGAAATTTTCCTCATACATTTGGCTTCTCTAATGTGCATTACATTGTTTTTATGCTGAACTATCTGGAATTTTCATCTATACAGAATTTGATATTTCTCGAGCTGTTATTGTAAAAATTCATTAGGACATGCTTAGGAAGCTTTGCTGAAATGCATACAGGTAGATGAAACATGTTTGGGATACATTATGTAGCTTTGAAGAATGGGTAAGAATCCCCAAAACATGATTAATTCTATAGGTTCTCATAGGTGAGTAGACATCTTGCATTTTCGAAGTGATCGCACATCTTATAAACTATTTGCTTATTCTTATTGGGCGATTCATCAATGCTTATTTTTTTATCTACGAAAGATAGTAGTAGTAGTGATTTTCCAATGGTGCAAGGTAGTTTCCTGTAAAGTGATTTTCATTTTCACTAAAATATAATTTTTCACATGTTTGCTTTATTTTCTGGTCCTTTTCAAAAATGAATTTTTATATGCTGCTGCATATAATCCTGCAACTAGTTATTCTTGCTAAATCACCTGCTTCAGTAATTTTCTTTAGCAGTATATGTTTTGTTTGTCATTATTATGTCAGTTCAGTGAATTTATGTACAGTATCCAGTTTCAACTTTTTCAAAGTTATAACTACATATATATATAATACTTTTGCTTATCTTATTTCAATGATAAGTTAATATAATCTTAAGCATATGCTACCTCCCTGTAATACGGTTTCTTTGTATTTGACAGGGTTGCCACGCTACCTGGAAAACCGGGAGAACCGGGAAAAGTCAGGGAATTCGAAAATTGACCAAAAATTCAGGGAACAGTCAGGGAATTTAAATATTTTGGTCAAAATCTCAAAAGTCAGGGAATTTCATATGGCTATTCCCCCCAAAAAAGCGAGTTTTTGCTGACGTTGGAAGCAATCACTTCCTTGGTGAATTATGTATCATGTGAGCATCATTCAGCCAGCTGCCATAAAGCCCATTTTCGCAGCTCCAATCAGATTCTCTTTTAGAAGGCAAAGCAAGTTTCCCGCAACTTTTGGTTCCAGTATTCTGACACGCATGTGGCGTGCATGAACTAAAGAAAGTACCTTTCTCGTAAAACAAATGGGTTTAATCTTAGTATAACGGTACATGAGGTAGGAATCAAAGAATATGTTTGTAAAGAAGGAAAACCCTCTCTCAACAGACGTGGCTCCGTTCCATCATAGAGGGAAACAGCTGTGCATTCGGATATATCTTTGCCAAAGCTCGAAACCGGTGTCGAAGTTCGAGGTCACGTTATCAAGATTCATAAAATGAATATCGTTTAAAATTTCTTTAACGACTTGCGCTAAAAAGACGTGCCACGCACGTCGAGATGCTTTTGTTCTCAACCGTGAGCGACGTGAACACCACGTCGATAGCATTTATCGCAAAAATGAAAATAACATGGTGCACACGCCGCCTAACAACGAGATTGTTTATTTCTCGAGTTACAGCTCTGGATTGCACTCGCAATGCGGAGCGGCGTAAATGAACACTTTAACCACTTTGCTATATTGTAGCGCACGCAAACCGCAACCTTGAAGTTTAGTCCTTAGCGCAAGTAGTTAAACTCTAAATTAAAAGAAATATTTTTTGGCGCAAGTAAATTAATTCATAGGTTAGTATTTTCAGGGGGGAAAAACTTACGAAAATCCGTTTTTTTAAGATTATTGCGAAAAATCCAAGAAGAAACGTCCTTTGATAAAACGTTTCTTCTTGATTTTTCGCATATTTAAAACAGATTTTCGTAGCTTTCTTTTTGTCAAAGAACGTTTTCTTCTTAACACGTTTTCTCATTTCCGGTACACATCGCGGAGGGAAATTCTGGCCGCCAGGTTCCGTCGCCA